TTGTTGTTGTTATTGTCTTTATTTTTTAAACCTGTTTGTACATACGCATATAGTTCCAATGGATATTAAACCATGCCAGGCAGTAATACAGCAAGAGCAACAACAGCAACAACAAAGAAAAGAGAATGAATAACATTTTTCAAATGTACGGTTTTACTATCTACCAATGTCCACAGATCATGTTAAACTTTCGACCAACACTTTTATGTCGGTCCACATATCCCACCGTTCACGCCGGAAGAAATAACAAGTTTTACACACTACAAAAGATGATATTCGTGTATGTGTATATAAACTTATCTCTATTTATCCTCTGGCTTTCTCTTTGGCCCCACAACGAAATTTATTTGTGATACAAACTGAAGTCTGTTGTCATTGTTTATTGTTGCTGATTTTATATTATTTGCATTTTTTTTATTTTATTTTTATTTTTATTTTTTTATTTTTGCCATTGTATTGTCGTTGTTGTTGCCCTTGTAAAGTTTTAAATATATTCTGTAGTTGAGGTTATGTCCAGGATTTGTTTTTGTGGTTTCATTTCGCTAGAGAGTTGACCACCACCTCATCGCTATTAATCGCTGCTCCATACGAAATGGGGCGGCTAGTCAGTTAAAGTGCTTGCATTTTAGTAAATTTGTGGTTCAACAATTATTGAAATAACTGAAGTAAATTTTACACACCAACAGCAATTTTTTTGTAGTTTTTGTACAAATTATATCAGAAGCTTACTTTGCTTACGTAACTAAAATACCTGACAACACTTAAGCGGCATTGACATTAGAAATTTGCGTGAAACGATGTTTCTCAAAGTCTTGCAAATTTAAAGAGGAAACGATCGTAAAGTTTATCTGAACAATATTTTAAAACTGAAACATAATACAGAAGCTGAGCGAAATACATAAGGAACGCAATAAAATGATAAGCCTTTCAATGCCTAGAAATGCCACATTGTTTTTGGCTAATTCTTATTAGACGTAAATGTAGTTAGAATTCATTTTACAGAGAAACAATGACTTCTTGTATATGTTCGCAAAAATTTTCCCGGAGCAATTTTGAAATCTAAGCTCCTGAGGCCTGAACAAAAATATGCAAATCCAGCCACAGTAAGTATTTTGCTTCAATTTCCTTTTATTCGGCAGATATTTAATAGATCGGCAGATATAAATAGATGACATCAGCTATATCGGCCATGAGTATCCGTTAATCAAGGACATATGTAAAAGGAGAACTATAGATGGGTTAGCTTGCTAGCTTATCGTTCGATGATGGATATAAGAAAGCGAAGCTACATGTCTGTCATGAGTATTCGTTAATTAAGGATATACCGAACAAATGAACTATCTGTGAGTATTTTCGACCATTGCCTTTTGGTATTGAGTGCAGTTAGCTTGCTAGCTTATCGTTCGATGGCGGATATAAGAAAGCGAAACTACATTCAATAAGCTAAATTCTCACTTAAACTAATCAGACGCGTTCGGAGTAGGTATCGTTTTTATAATTGATATAGTTAAGTCTTTTTTTGCTTATTTTTTAAACAAAAAAAAATTTTTCAATCTTTCCGGGATGACATATTGCAAACATATTTAGAATATATAGCTGTGTTTGCACAACTGTTTCGCAAATAATTTCGAGCATAATCGATTGAAAATAAAAAGTCAAAGGAATCCCTCCGGTGTATGAGTAGATCCCACCACATGTATGCTACATGTATATTTGCGTACGCAATGCATGCAAATATTTCTACGTTAAAGGGTATCGTATTTGTAAATATTTAAAATATTTTCAGTGTGCGTTAATTTTATTTGGTATGATATGAAGAATATATATATATATATATATATAGTAATAACATACATTGGAAAAATGGTTAAAGTTGTAATTTTCTGTTTTAAATATTTGCCTTAAAATAAATAAATACATGAGCATATTAGGGGATGCAACAGAGGACTTGTAAGAATCTAATCATGTCATCATTATTATTATTATGACTTCATCCACGCGAAATGATTACTTTGTATGATATCATTTAGTTTAATGTCTAATCAATTCATTCAATATTTTCTAACAATGGCAGTTTTGGGAGATTAAAAAAAGTAGGAAAACAAATATTTGCTCTTTACTTACGGTACTCCATACATTCCTTCAACTTCGGCCTGCGCAAAATAGTGTTGGGTAAAATCTTCGAATAGTTGATTATATCATGGATTCATAAAAGAGTCGCTAGGTAATTAAAAATTGTATGAGGCGCGAAGCAACAAAAGTACTTAAAACGAAGAAAGCCCAATCATTAGCCATTCAGTCATTATACATTATTTTTATGAAAATGCATAATTTTGATGAAAGGCCTCATATTGAAAGATATTCAAAACGTTAACTAACATGATCCAAAATTTAGAAGATTTGATTCGTTTGTCGAAGATTTTATAAGTTTCCAGTTTCTTCCATAACATAACAAACCACAAATTAGACTTTTTTCACTATAGAAGGGCTGGTTTTTATAAGAGCCCCGCTATGTATAATGCGTTCAACAAAATATATTTATGCGATCCAAATTCCTTACGGTTAATTTACTAAATTATACTTTTGTGGCGCGGAAAGGATTATCCTTCATTAGAACCCTTCTACGGATTAGGATCGAATAAATAGATTTACGTAGTTCAAATTGAGTTGAGTTAATTTTTGTATTAAATTATTAATATGGAAGAATTTTTATTAAGAAGTATTGAAAATTAGGCCTTTTTTTCATATAAAGATTCAGTTTCCGTAGGAACTGTTATAGAGCAAGGATTTAAACAAATTACGCCATGCGATCTAAAGTTTTCACACCAACTTAGAATGCCAAAATATTGTTACTAAGCGATTTTTTAGCGGAATTTCTAAAATATCGCTACTTTTGCATATAACGACTCATCAAATGAGACGCTACATGAGGAATGGTCGAAAAAGCGGTCTGATGCCAACCATTTTCTATACGGTTTGTACTTGACCCAAAATTCGGCAGCGTAACAAATTTTGTCAAGGTACGTTCGAAAATTGCGATCCACAAGTTAAACACAAAAATACAGTGACCGACATTAGACGCAGAGACAGTCAGACAAGGTCGGAAGGTCAGAATGATTTTCTTAACCGATTGGTTTACTAAATGATGAGTCTATCTCAAGTCCCCCTAGTTGTTACATATGTCCTTAGCAGAAGTCGAGATGCCCTTCCCTTTGTCTTTTCCTATTTCTTTCTGCCCGTCACCATGTTACACACATCACCTAAACATCTCCTGGCTGGTTGGTTATCTTAAAAGAGAATACCATGTAAGTTGCAACCAGTTTTGCTAAGAGATAGAATCACTTTGCTTTAGGCTTCTGCCAGATAGTCACTTCTCCAATGAAAATCGTATAAGATTAGGCTTTACTTACTTCATCGTATGAGAAATGCGTACAACCGTGTTTATGAGGGTTTTGAAAAAGTCGCACTGTTTGCAAAGAGTGTCAAACGCGGGATGGGTTACTTTTGTTCTTGAAGCAAGATTAAAAATGGGCACGGTGCTAGTCAGGGAAAAAATTACTATTAACGACAGACTTAATGTGCAGTGTTAATTAGCAGTGTTATGAGCTGCTTCAACAAGACAAGATACAGATAATAACTGATGCAATCTTGCAGAATGAGCCCACTTGACTTCAAATTACAGTGCGCGTTCATTAAAGTGGGCCTCCTTTATTTAGCAGACCAAGTCTTTGTGCTTACCATCTGAGCGATTCGACGATATTAACATACATATTTTGCGTTCCTCTCTATCACTTGGCACCACGTAAAATGTGGAATGTGCGTCTTTGTCTTAGTCGGATGCAGCAAAAGAACAAAAAAAATCCTCGAGGATATAGAATAAGAAGAAATACTTTAATAAGGCAGAGTTGTTTTGCAGCAGGGGAATTGCAAACCAATGGACAAATATAATAAAACATATAAACTATAACCAAAAAAACATATCATAACATATAGCCTTTCAAACTTTCAACTTCTTCTCGAAGTACGATTTTTCAGAACGACATTCTTCTTTTCGTTCGAACGTTTGATGTTATACTGTCATTAAAATAACATTCTAAAACGAAGCACATGGTTTATTTCGATAAGTTATTTCAAAGATTAATTAATAATGAAAGATTGATTTTTTTCGGGTAAATGTGATTTTTTTCATTCAAATATTTTCAAAATCACGAAAAAGTTTATATTTTTAAAATCCCCCATCTAGTTCTATCTGTATCTAAATAAATGTATTTTTTTAGATTCCGATTTTTATCAGTAACAATTCGTGTCGCAGCGCCTTTCCATTTAAGATGGCGCGCATGAATGCTTACGGTGCTGACGTTTTTTAATATCGAAAAACATAAAAAATTTAAAAATAATTTTTTCGAATTCTTAGATATGTACTTAGATGTATGCGTTCTTCAATATTATTATCCTTTTACCTTATATACCATCCATCCAAAATTGATAAGAAACGATATTTTAGGCTGTTAGAATACCTTTCCCCCTTCAGAATCATGAAAATGGTTGAAGGCAGAAAAGACCGTTGTACGGGACAGAATAGCTGTTAGTATTAGTAAATCAGTTCATCATTCAAATATTTATAATGTCTACGGTTGGGGATGATCACCTGACCTGTTCTATCTCACCGCAATCATTATTATAGTATAGCCCTTAGCCATCACTTTGCTGACAAAAATCACATAATGGCTAAGAAGTTGGTGAAAGTACTATTTGAGAACGCACGCATACATCGATACGGAAACCGTTCAAGGTTCGTGAAAGTCATTAATTATATTCATAAATTTGTAAATT